GAGAGAGAGAGAGAGAGAGAGAGAGAGAGAGAGAGAGAGAGAGAGAGAGAGAGAGAGAGAGAGTTGGTGCTGACAATGGTCGATATTTTTTGTCATTTATGTACACACCCTCACTGATTGCCTGAATATATCATGTATTTCATGCTTCGTAGGTGTTGCCACATGACCAATGACTGCCTAGTCTCTTCCCCTCACTGACTGCCTCAATGTTTCTAGGTGTACCATAGATAGCGAAGAGAGAGAAGGCATTCAGAGAGGGAAGAGAGGCCTGACGGTCAACATGTGAGGTTTTTTCTTTGTTGTTGGTTTCGTGTCCATACCCACTCAGCAAGATGTATACAAACTTTTTTTTTTTTTTTTTTTTGGAGAACTGTGCTCCGATCTATTGGTGGGGAGCAGCATGTGCTGGGAACTGGGCCCGGCGTCCCATTTTGGAACATATTGGAGAACATATGCAAAAGCAAATTAAGTCACCGGGTCATTACCGGGCTCCGGCTGAGACTAACCTTTCCACCAACACAGACGTGAGCTCAGCTACAATTCAGAAAAGCTATGAGAAATTGCAAGGAAAATGAACAGAAGCGAGATGACAATATGGAGATTGCACAATCACATTGAAAGTCAAATCGTATCACAGAGTTCAGAAAGCAGCATTGCACCAATATAACACCAATGGAGAATCGTAGCACTGAAAGTCAATGCCAATGAGGGCTTGCTCTCACCACCACCAACATATGTATCCAGTCTCTATCTCCCTACTTGGAGCTCGGCGCCCAGCCTACTCCCTACACAGCTACTACTAGCCTACTAATTGACAATGCAACTGTTGACGTCAGCAGCCTCCGAAGTACTTGAAGATGTCGCCCGTGCAGACCATCGCCAATACCAGGTATGTGCCCTCACATCATCATCATCATCATCCTTCTCTCTCTCTCTCTCCCTTTTCTTTCTCCCACATCTTCCCTTTGTACACCCGAAGACCACCCCTGCGCCTCACTGTACATCCAAGCCCTGCAGCTATGGAGGCTGGGCTATGGCGCTGCCCTCAGCAGCGCCCTGCTCTCTGCACACCCGCACGTGCTTGCACCTCGCTGCTCAGCGCTAGCAGCAGCCCACGAGCTTCAGCTCCAGCAGCGCTGCCACCAGCATGCGAGTGCCCGAATGAGGCTCCAGGCAGCAAGCTCTTTCCTATATGGAAAGAGTCTGCCTGCCTTCGCAGCCTGGCTGGCCTGGGCCTGGGCCCAGAAGCTTCGGGTAGGCCCCAGGATGCTGCGCCTCTGGTGCAGCTACTGGGCCTCATTCCGTTGGGCCCCTCAACTGTCTGTGTATGAGGCTGCAAATCTTGCCCAGGGCCTGCACTTTCGGAAAAGCCTAGAAGGCCGTGGAATTTCCTTGCTGCTCGGCCTGTGTTTCCCCAACCAACTGGCGTGACGGAACTGCCTGGACCCCAAATACGAATTTGACAGCTTAGGGCCTCTGGCGATTTGTTAGGCCCGTCTTCACTTAGGGCGGGCACATTTGTTGCAGGGGGCCCCTTAGGCCTGCCGAGGACCCAAATCCTCGTAAAATCTCTTTTTGAACACTTAGAATGCCACCTGACCACAATCCATACAGACTGCCCGAGTCTCCGAAGGCTCACCTTGCCTTCAGAGAAAGAGGAAGGGGGAGGGAAACCCCCCCTTCCTCCCTTTGGATATTACGGCGTGGAACGGAGACTCGATAGTCCTTGAAGGAACCCACAGAAGCTGCCAGGATTACTCCCTCACCTCAAAAAAACAACGCCCTGGCCCTCCACTGCCTCTGCCGGAAGGAGATCCCTTCTCCTCACCGGCCCCAGTTCAGAACAGCCCCCTAAATGGACACCCCTTCTCCCTCAGTGACATGCAATTCCCCCAAGAGCATGCCCCCGCAGAGCTGAAGTTTTCCCTGTCCCACCTGTCCGACTCCCCCGAAAAAAGATTCTGTTTTCCGAATCCAGAAACCGGTACGTAGATTCCTGCACCTTTAAAAGAGAGCTGGCAGGCCGAAGGAAAGAAAATAAGTAAGACAGCGCAGCCCACTCACCCTGCTGAAACAGCAGCAAACCCCTTTGTCCCCTCTGCCCCAACCACCGAGGCTGATCCGGCCTTAATCCGCCCAGCTCCAGAGGAGGCTAACCGGCCTTACCGCACCACCCCTCATCTCCAGAGGGAGCATTCCTAATCAGCAACTAGGAGCACCCCGTAGCACCATTAAAACACCAGCAAAACACAGTTGTAAAACACCAGCAAAACACAGTTGTGAACCAGCGGTTCAGATTTGACTAGTCTCTTCTTTTTTGTGAAAAATGAGAACCGATTGAGATATTTCGGAAGCTGATATAACCAAAACCATGTTACCCCTGTGCTATTCAACAGACCAGCCTACAGTTGTCTCAACCCTCCTATCCGATACCAAGCTCTACCAGGCCCTAACCGCTGGGTTACAGGGTGGCGCGACCTACCCCAGCTCCGACCAAGCTCTACCAGGCCCTAACCGCTGAGTTACAGGGTGGCACGACCTACCCCAGCTCCGACCAGCAGCGTCCTAGTAACAGCTCACGGTACGCCACTGTATACAAGCTCACTATTATAATATATCGATTTCTGGATCACTTGAGTTCTCATATCGAGTGGTTTTGGATTTCATCTTCATGTACAGTGAGGTGTGCAACTCTGTGAACATGATGTTTGAAGTTCAGACTCATTGCAGTTGTATTGTTGCATGGCATAATGGTTGCAGGTCCGCAAACTGGATAACATGATCTGCGCACTTGAAACAAACAGCAGCGGTTGTGGAGGTGGTAATTCTGATAGTGAAGAAGAGGTGCGTGAATTTCCTTCTTTGTTGATTTAGTTCGGACACCGTTCCTTGGTCCTTGTATTCTCCTGTACGAGGAGGCCGTAGCCTTTTCAGAAATCGTCGTGATGTTCTTAATTTGAAGTGTTTACAAGCACCCAATTTTTTTTTTTCCCCCACACAATTTTTGGGAATCTAGTTTTTTTAACTCTTTTTTGTTTCCCCCTGATGAAAACAGGTCTGTAATACTCTATATGGCCCTGGCTCCGTTTCCATTCTGGGGAGCATCAGTCCAGTTCCTTTTCCACCGGCACGACATATTATTACAACATTTACACCCTCACGCTTTGGGAATTAGTATTTCTAACTTATATGGTAAATGAAAATGCCCCCTCCCCCTAAGCCCCGGTCACAACAAACCCTGTGGTGCTGGAGCCTGGAGTGCTTTTTAAAGGGGGGAGTGATGTCCATCCGTCATCCAGCACCTCCTGGGCAGTGCATGACACACCATTGGGGAGGCTCCAGTCTATTAATGGGGAGCAGCATGTGCTGGGAATTGGGCCTAGTGTTGCATATCACTGCAGAGCTCGTTTAGCTTTGATAGTCCTGAGGGAATCAGGGGACGAACTGTAAGTGCCCTGTGAGAAAGGAAACCCTGCGTCTTCAGTTTGCAGGGCTGCCAGAAAGAAAAACTGAATTTCTAGCAAAGCTTTCTGCGCAATCTTTTGGCAGTCTGAGACCGCACACCCTCTTCCACACCAGGCCAGGGCCACTGAACTATTATCCACAGGAGGGAAGGGGTCTTGAAATTCTGATGCTTCTCTGAGAGGAAATGAAGCCTCTATGTTTGTCCAGTCCGCAAACACCGAATGCACCCCTTGAGGCTTAGGTACGGCTCCCTCTAGTTTTGCAATTACCTTTGAGTTCGGGTTGCTCAGCCATTTTGCTTCAGAGTCCTTTACCTTGGCTTCCTTTTCCTTGGGATTGTAACTGGTAACTGGTTAACTTTTTCCATTGCTGATTGTCATTCCATCAGTATATCAGATTGGATGGATTCTGTAATCTCCTCATATACTTATGGGCCCTCCAGCATGGCTGCAGCGGTTAGGATGCTTGGCTCTCGAGTCCAAGGGTGCCGGCCGGGATGGGGTGGCTGTTGGGGGAGAGGCCCCCTTGTGGTTGTGTGCTGAATCAAGAGCATGTGTGCAAGAGAATGCCGTGCGGGGTGTTGTTTGTGTGTGAGTACAGACACTGCGGTCATGCAGGGGCGGGTTGGATATCACGGCTGTGTCATGGCTGCGGTGGTTATGTTACACTTGAGGCCAAGGGTGCTGGTCCGAATCCGTGTGCTGTCATCCAGAGGGGTCCGAGGATGTGGAAGCACCGACTTCCAGCATGACAGCGTCCCACTGGTGGGTGAATCTTATGGTCTAGATGCCGCTGTAAACCGTCCCCCTTGTATTTTGGAAGTGGCAAGTTAGGTTACCCTGCCAGTCATCTCCATATTCTCTATAGGAACACAGCCTGGGGCTAGGAGAGCAACAAGCTTTCCACTGTTCATCTGGTTTTCTGTAAGTGAATCCCACTTGGCAGCATTTGCACCATAGCAGTAAAATGCCATTTTGTTCAGGGTGCATGTGATCACTTAACCACTCTTGGTAGGTAGGCATCTGTGCGCAGATTGCCATTGGAGGGTGGATGCTTTTGCTGGTTTACTTTGCGGACCTTGACTGAAACTGCCTCCGAGTGGTCTTTTACTTGGTCTACCAAATCCGTTTTAAACAGCATCTTAAATGAGGTCTTGACCTTTATTTTGAGAAGGTCAATTGTCGATTCTTATCCCTTTCTCCTCTAATCCACTTCCGCTCATCGATGGGGCGATTCTTAATTTGTTTGCCCTTGCAGAAGATCCAAGGATTTTAGCCCCTAGGCAATGCTGGAAAAGGCCTCGACCGTTCTTAGTGAAGGCGGGCCTGCAAGTATGTGCCAAGGCCTGAGTACAGGCGGATGTAAGCAGGAAATGGGCTAAAGCATGAGGCTCTCCGCCTAGGTTGAAAGGGCTGCGCCCTCTGGAAACTGTCTGTGCCTGCTATAGTGAAGGCGGGCTCTCAGCAAAATCAACGAGACCTTTTTAAGGCCATTGTGAGCAGAATGGGGCCCCGTGGGTTGGTTGCTACGTGCAGCATCTTCAACCAACCGGTAGGCCGAATCGGTTGAAGATGCTGGGCCCAGCAAAGATGCCGAGCTCCAGGGCACTTACAGTTGAGCCCGGGAACATTCTGGAAGGGCCCTGGGCGCAGCTACTGGGACAGAGGTCGAGCATTCAGAGCCTGGCCTCGCCCAGCCAGACAGAACGGAAGCAAGCGAGCGTCACTAATTCTCAAAATTATGGCTGGCTGGACGGCAGCAGTGCTTCTTAGCGCTCGCATGCTGGATGAGAGTTGCACCAGGTGGAAGAAGGGGCGTGTGGAAGGCGGTCCAAGGGCTCAGTGGGCAGGGCGCAGCGGCCGTAGCCGGGCTGCTGGTGCCAGGATGACCAGAGGTCCTTAGGCGAGGGACTGGAAAGAAGACTGTGTGCGCAATGTGTGAGGAGGTCCTTAGGCGAGGGACTGTGGAAGGAAGACAGGGTGTGTGCAATGTGTGAGGAGGTGCTTACCTGGTGGTGAAGAGCAAGACACTTCAGTCGGAATCTTCATTCGTCATTGGGATGCTGTACTTCATGAAGACGTGTTGTAGTTGTGGAGTCTAGGTGAATAGGTGCTGTGTGATTGTAGTCTGGGTGCCGAGCATCAGATAGGAGAGCAACATTGTGGACATTCGTGTTGGAGGCGAGAAGAGGGCTTCATTATCAATTGACTTTAGTGCTTGGCTCTTGATTATTTTGACTTTAGTGCTTGGCTCTTGATTATTTGGTGTTATCTCGTGGTGCAATCTGCTTTCAGTTTGTGCACGAAGTTAGCTGGATTACTATGGGATGGGGCAATTTGGTTTCTGTCATTCATATTGCTGATAATCCTTGTGCACGGGTTCAAGCCCTCTCAGTAGCCCTCTCAACCCTCCATGCCCTCTCGTTTCCAACCCAGCGGAATATGGTCAAGCACGGTGTTGCCGTGAGCCTGCCCCCTTCTTGGACCAGCCACAGTTCCACCTGTATCACTTTCTTTGTCCATTTCCCGCTCCCATTCTGTCACGCCCCAGTCTTCTATATTGAATAAGGGTCCCCTTTTAGAATTGCAAATTCTTGTGGGAGGGCCACTAGTAATCCGTCCAGTCTCTCCTTGACATTATAGCAATATCTAAGGGTTATTTCTAGGTCTTCCTTGGTTTTCCAGGTCACCTTGTTTCCATCCCAGATATCTTTTATGCTCAAGATCCCTGTTTTTACTGAAATTTTCCAGGGTGACGCATGACCAGGAAGCCTTGGCTGTTCGGTTTGTGTTTGTTTCATTCCCAAGTAGGGTTGCTGCATCACTCTCCCATCACGTGGGCTTATATTGTTCTAGGATGGGTAGCTTCCTCCATGTATGAAGCAGGGAGAGCCAGAGGGGATCGTTTTGCAGGTCCCTCTTCTGCTTCTTGGACTTCACTTGCTGTGCGATCTCTCTTTGGGATAGCTCTATCTCGTAAACATGTGAGAGGGTCTTCCCCATCAGGGGTCTTTGGGGCTAGCCTCTTGAGTTATTCCAATGCAAGAGGGGCCCAAACAGCTTGCCCAGACAGCTTGGTTATCAAATGTCAGTTTGTGTACCCATTTGAGGGAGAGTGCTTCCAGTTGTGTTGCTGGATCCAGTATAGCTAATCTGTTCGCTTTGGGTTGAGTAAGTAGGTCCTATGCTACCCTACTGGTTCTTCATTTGCATTGTTCCTCCGTAGATATATTGCAATGTGCTGCTTCATGGAGGACGATGCTTTCTTGGAAGGAGCCCATCATATCAAAGGCACCAATCGTCAATATCTGTGGGCTTCCCGGAGGGTACTAGTTTTCCCCCCAGGACCCAGGTTGATGTACCCAAAGGAAGTCTTGATGTTAGGTAGTTCAGGGCAACCCAACGTCTCGCTCCCCTACTATATTGCCATATCGGAGGGCCAACAAAATTTGTCCATCATGTTTTTGAACTCTTCCTAGTCATTGGGGGATGCATCTACTCATAAGGAGAGGTCATCTGCAAAGAGGGAGCACACTGGGAGGGCCTCCTCTGGGATGGAGACTGCCTCAATCTTAGCCAGGTCTTGTCATGAGGTTGCTGCTAGTGCCATCATCATAATAACTGTGCTCGGGGCCAAGGGGTGTCGTTGCTTTGGCAAGCTTTGTAGCGACATCTCTAATCCCGGAGTCCTGCTAATCTGTACCCTAGTGAGGCATTGACGCAGAATCGACCTATCTCCTGAATTTCTTTCTATATTAGTTTTTTCTAGGCAACAAGTCAGAAACTGCTAGTCCATGTGAAGGTAAGCTTTTCTAAAAGAAAGGAAGAGCAACTCCGCATTTGCCTTGTATTGCCTTTCATTTCTGAGGACCGCATTCATTCATGAAATATTGTTATGGATGTTTCTTGCTCCACAAACATAGTCTGGTTGGGGTGAATTATTAACCCCATCACCAGGGTTGCCTCCCTGCTGACCGCCGACCTCGACTGCCGACCTTATTGGAGCCGACCAGTAGGGCCGACCAGTCGGCGGCCTGGGAAAAAAAAAAAAAAAACATCCACTGATGTTTTTTCATATCTGAGTGGGGGGCTATACTGCGCTTGCTGAGTACAGCCCAAATCCGCTGAGAAACTTTTGGGGATAGGGGGGGTATAGGGGGCTGTAGGGAGTATTGGAAGGGGTAATGAGGGTGTTGGGGGGTGTTGGGGGGATGCACATGTGGTTATTGAGGGTCGCTATGGGGGTGTTGGTGGTGCTATTAGGGGTTCTGGACCCCTTCTTTTTCTTTTTTCTTTTTCTTTTTTCTTTTTCTTTTTTTGTGGGGTGCCGACGACCCCCGACATGTAGGTGCCGACCAGTCGAGGGCCGCCGACCGTCGG